CACCGTTTCAGCGGCAACATTACTGTCATGGGTCTTGTTTGTAGAATCAGCTTCTGGGAAAACTTCGGTTGGAAGAACAGCAGGGGTGGAAACAATCTTTGAACCCAAGGATCTCGAAAGAATGGGGACATCCTGAAACAGGAAAGAGCCTTCAGGAACCAGTGCAGCAGCCAAAGCACTCGTCCAACTCTTTAGAAAGAGCTTGTCTCGCAGTACTAGCACCTCCTCCTTATACGTCGCCCCAGCTTCATCCCAGCCTTGTTGCCAATGCTTGGCCTCCAAAGTAGAGCGCTTGGCGGCTATCATGCCAATAACGGCTTCCAATTCGGCCACCTTCCCCTCGAGTTGAGCCTGTGTCCCAATAGCAGCCTCCTTCGATTTTTGAACTGAAGCGAGAATCTTGTTCAACCGAAATGTTTCCCTCTCCGTGGTTTAGCGTCCTTCTTTCTCTGTCTCCAAGCTTACCGTCAGTCTCTCAGCGTTCATTGCGGCCTTTTCTAGCTCTTCAGCACGGGTAATGGACAGATGCATTCTCTAGATACACTGCAAAGGACAACGAAGAATTAAAAGAAAAAGAGACAGCAACGCATCAATAAAGACAAGTAAAACGAGGAAACACTTACAGCAGTCATCATCTGAAGGGTCCCCTTCAGGATAGGAATATCACGGGGCCCATTATGGTCGGCCATGTCAACCGACATCAACAAAAACTTAGTTAAATCAAAGGCAAAATCTTGTGAAGCAACAACTGAATCAGAAGTGGAAATGGGTCTGCCTTTATACGACATTTGCGGCTCTCATTTCTTAAAAGTCTCATCCTCAGCAAGATCCTCAGAAGCTTCCCCCACCACTGCTTTGCCAGCCTCTCTTCTTCTCTTTTTTGCTCGCACAGCGACCGAAGCTGAGGGCTAGGCAGCAGTCGCAGGGGTCCCAAAAGCTCCCACCTCCATCTTTACTTCCATAAGGCTCTTCGCCTCAGTCCTTTCCGGAGGGGTTTCCAAAACATCGGAGGCTTTGAAAGCCTCGGCCTCTAAATGCACCAACACCCTTCTCTTCGCCATAGACCCGCCCCCTATGAAACTGGGGGCAGGGGAGGACGCTCTCTCAGAAAGTGCACCTTGACTCCTGCGACGGTTCGTGACCAAACGAGTGAGAGACGTGTCGGTCTCGGTATTAGAGTCCAGAAGGGCAGCAGCGAGCCTCGCCTTTTTGGAATAATGGAACGGGAAGTAGACTGGTATTCTAATAACTCGGGTGTAGATCTCTTTTTATACCTCAGGGCCGCTTTTATGGCTTCAGCGTTCTCTCGGTTCGGTCTTCGTTGGAAACGAGAGGCCTCTGCAAAAAAGAAGTGATCCATTAGAGCAACATCCAAAATAAAGTAAGAAATACAAAAGGCATTAGAAGGAGAGGCCCAAACCTGGGTAGCCGTCTTTCTGGAGCATCCTCTTAGACTGAAACTCAGTTCCGGCAGGGAACTCCCAGTTTCCACCAACTTGTAAGAAATCATCGTTGTGTTTATCCGAATCGGGAAACCCAGTAATCAAATAATAATCAAACGAGCGAACACGCAAGTAATACGTGCTATGGTCTTTGTTATGAGAAAGAGTATAACAACCTAAGATATCCCATATGTCAAGGTTCAAACCCAATCGTCTATTGAGGGCGAATACGCCGCAAACAACACGGAAAAGGTTCACAGATACTTGCATTGGGGTTAACTGGACTTGATGGAGAAACCGGCGTACCAACGGATCAAGAGGAAACCGAACCCCTCCCTCGACTATGGCCGCGATAGGAAAAGCGACGGTATTCCTCGTGCCCATATGCTTGGTGTCTACTTTCTCCAACGAAAGGGTAACGTCGTCGGAAATATTATTGTCCAGGCGGAACATAGCCATGGCCTTGGGGGTATCAACTAGCAAGCGGAACTTCCCCATTTAACAAACCTAATGGGACAGAGGTAAGACTCAGATAATAGAGTATGAAACACAGACAGCGAGTGGGCCAAACAAGATGATTAAGACACAAAGAAGCGAGAGAAGAAGAATCACATGGGAACTTACAGAGGCTAGAACAGTGGTAGCATAGCAAGATCAAGGGCGAAAAAAAAAGTCTGAGCAGAAGCACCAACGGGACTGGTTCAGAGGAACGGGAAAAGTCTTTTCTCTCTCTTTGAAACTCTCTAGAGGAACGAAAAAGCAGATAAAGGAATTTGTATTGACGGCCAGAGCATTAATTGCACCAGCCGACGCGTAGGTACACGAAGCACAACCTTCGGTATGGAATCGACGCACTATCTTTGCACGCCTATCCCACATCACCATGTGTCACCATGAAAGGATGCATGCAGGGGTTGTGTGTTAGGATTGAACCGTCACCAAGGCTGAACTGGAGAAAATTGAAACGACGTGACGCTTGGGAAGCAGAACAGTAGCTCCCCCCAAGGGGAACCTTAGCGCAAGCGAGGGGGCAAATGAATGGGCTAAATGTGAAATGGGTCGGGTCCAAGCCTTGGGTCAGCCCAATCCATTGAAGTCCAAGTCCAAGTGGGTTGGATGAGTATATGGACAAACCAATTGAGCCCAACTTCATGATCAACAGTCCACCCAAGTCCTTAAGCACTTGGGCCCAATCCGCAATGGAAAGGCTAGTCCAGCCATGGTGCTGGGCTGGGCCGAGCTACGAGACTGAACCTATAGGCCGAACAGAAAATAGGCCGAGCCCATACAAAGATATCCGAATGGGTCAGCCTATCTCCATGAATGATCCTGTAAAAGGCCGAGACAAGGCATAATGATGCCGAATTGAGGCACATTGGCACCGAGTTGAGGAAACCTTGCAAGAAAACGTGGAAGTTGTGAATGTGTGCATATGCAAGTTGCCACCTCAGCTGGTCCCCTACACCTAGAATCACGGAAGTTGTTGAATAAAAGGAATGTGGTTTGTTATCAGCACGACTACAATGAGTATATGCATTCAATAATAACTACCAGGTGGTCCCCCATCTTGAGCAATGCTAAAAGGATACCTGGCAACATCCAAGCTCTAGGAACCCACCTTGAGAAGCAAGCGAGGAACATTATATATACAACATGAACTTCACATTGAAGGTAACTGAACTATTCCAAACAAAATCATACATAGAGGGAGATTCAATTCTACATACACTTCTTCTCCGATCACTGATTCCCACACCGGAGGGTTTATCCGGCCAACCCCGGCCGGGCAGCTCTAACGGTGCTTCTTTTGGCAGGAATCCCAGTCCCTGGATAGTCCAACCGAGTGCAGGGCACCGATCCACTTTCATCTAGTGCGGAATCCGGTACGCACAAATCTTAGTAATGATGGTATTAATAAAAACAAGATATGGTGTAGTATATTAGGAATAATAATTTAAAAGTCACAAGACTTAAAAATGTAAAATGACAAATAAATTTATGAAAATGAGTATTTAAGTGTAATATTTTAATCTTATCAATTTTTTGAAAATTAAATTAAATATTAAAATGTTTAATAAATATAATTGAGGTACGGTGGGGCATAATAGGGAAAGGAGAAGAAAATATGTCCTCGCCCCGCTTTCTCATTGAGGCAGGATAAAAGATGTAGGGGCAAAACGGGATATGAAGAAACTACAATCTCTTCTTTTACCGATCATTATCACCCTCTAGGGTGTCTCTATTTGCACACCACCTTTCATCTCAAGGTACACCGCTACTCAAGGCACACCTTTAATAAAAGGATAAATAAGCAATTTGCTCAATACACACCACAACTTTCCATCTTTACCTTTACTCACACACCCTACCGACAATCTTCCATTTTTACTCTCATTCACTCACTCACACATTCCAGGCCCCCCCTCACGATCCATCTCCCCTTCATGTCTCTGATTGATTGTCACCCCCACATACCGATGAACAAAACTAGTGATGAAGACTTCTCAAGACACCGGTGAACAGAACCAGTGGTGAAGACTCCTCAAGATGTCGGTGAAAATTTCAGTTTGCAAACCGTTCGACTCTGGACTTTCGAACCTTAACAATTTGTTCGGACTATTTCTGTCGTACCTTAGCCAGTTGTCTGGAGTGTTTCTTTCGAACATTAACCATTTGTTCGACATTTTAGTGTCGAACTCAATTACAAAAGGTGTGTATTATAACCCTTTGTCCTTTGTGGTCATTTTACATAAGGTTAATATTGTAATAAAAAATAAATCAATTAATGATTTGCCTTGAGATGAAATATGGTGTGGAAATAGAGGCACCCCACCCTCTACTAATTGTCAACCACCTTTCTATCGTACCATATCTCTCTTTCTCAATCCGTGCCCTCCCCTACCAACAATATTGGCTCCAAAATATAGGTCATATCATATTGCACCATGAATCATCACAAAGTGTTAAGCCTCCGTTTGGGAAATGGGTTGACTTTTTGACTTTTTAGCTTTTTTGGCTATTTTAGGCTAGGCTAAAAAGCTTGGTTTGGGAAGGGCTTTTTGGCTTTTTGACTTTTTTTGTGAGAGAAGAGTGTAATGATTATGGGTTGGATGTGATATTTTGTTTGTTGTGGCTAAAATAGCCTCTCTTTTTTTGTGACTAAAATAACCCTAAACCTCCTTGCTAAACAGAATCACTTTTTCTCTCAAATACCTGAGTTATTATAAAATGTGTTTAGCAATGTAAATCGGTTAAAAAAATATACATAGAGAGAAGCATAATACAAACAGCAAACAAATATAAACAGAGATTTTAACACAAGTGCTCCCTCAACTTAAATTTTAACATCATGCTAGATCATCAGTTGCCTTGAGAAGATTAAGAATTGGTTTGGGATGTTCTAAAAAAGTGTACTTTTTGACTTATTAGCTTATATGGGTTGGGTTTGATGTGATGTGTTAGAGAAGTGATGTGATTTAAATAAGATGATGTGACTTAAATAGGATAGTGACTTTTTGAGTTTTTGGCTTGTTTAGGTTATGCCAAACCAACCATAAATTGATAGTAAATAAGTCATTAGAAATCAAATATGTACATCAAACTATCCAATAATGATCAGTGCCCCAACCTTTTACCATATTTTTTTTTTTATAATTTTATTTACAACAACAATGATACAAACTATGAATCTACATTAGGAGTTTTAGCAATGGGCACTCCATGAAAGAATGAGAAAGAACAAAACAGTGGTAACGGTCCTAGTTAGCAATATTGGATGATGAAATTGAAACCTCGGTGTTACAAATAGGACAAACCTGCAAAATCCAAAAAAAGAAAAAACAATTAATTAGTACCTTCAACTAAACTTATAAATAATTTTATTTTAAAATAAAAAAGCAAGAAATAAAAAGTGTTGGGGGGCTATACTTTTTTGATTAGGAGCCACTGGCTTACACAATCAGAATGGTAGGGGTGTTCACAAGGGAGGGCCACCAGCTTCTCTCCTTCTTCATACTCCACTTGACATATTACACATCTAATATTTCATTTCAATGTAAATATTTATTAGTACTTTTACATTAATACATCAAAATGAAAAATGTATATATACTATAAAAAAAACTTGAAAACAACCAAGTACATATGTATGTAGTATATGTGTTCCAACAATTTGCAAAGATCTATTCTATTCAAAAATTTCACTAGTAGGCTATAGATTTGAAAATTTCTGTATTAATTAATATTGTTAACACTAGATTTTGCAGCAAGATAAGATAATTTTCTTGTGGACTCATTGATGTGTATATTAAAAATGATTTTTCATGAACTTTAGAGTAGAATCATGGTTCCACCTGGGTTATATATACTAGCCGGTGACACACAAGATACGTGTGCAATTCAAATAACTAATAATAAAAATAAATAACAAAAAATTTAATATCATAATATGCATATTATTTAAGTGATAAATATGTTCTTAATAAAATTCAAAATCTTAGGTTCAAAACTTGCTTACGTATAAATAGATATATGTAAATGATTTTGTATAAGAGCTCAAACTCACCGATCAATGGTGGTTTTGCTATCAATAGGTAAGCGTGTATACGGACTCAAACACGAAGAAATTTCTTCTGCTGATAGTCCTCTGTTTTCTTCTCCAACAGTCTCTCCCAAAGCTATCAATTCCTGCCATATATGTATAATTAATTTTCAATTTGCATGAATTATAAAAAAATAAAATGACATAAAAAAGAAGAAAAATGCCAATCTCACCTCATAAGATAGTTCATCCGGATCAACATCGTCTTCCTCCATTTCCTCAATCTGAAATTTTACAAAAGGGGCCAAGATAAAATTATTTAGATTTTGGAGGGGTTAAAAGTAAAACTACATAATTTAAGGGCTAAAATGTTAGTATTTTTTATAGATACTCAAAATAAAAGGGGCCTAATGAGATTTCTGTAAAGTTCAGAGACGGAAAAGATAAAACTATAAAATAAAATTATAATACTAGGCTGTGATAAAAGTGGGGGATTTGATGAAAATGAAGACAAAATTGGCTAGGAAATTTAAAAAAAAAAAAAAGAAGAAGAAGAAGAAGAAGAGAGGGAGAGGTAATATTTTATTTTAAAGGGACCAAAAAAATCATAGAAGAAAATAATAAGCAAAAAAACCTGGTAGTCATTGCTATCTTCTCCCTCCGAAAATGCTAATTCAGCTGCAAATACAAAGTTGAGACGTGGGTCAACATTGAGACCACTGTTGTGTTAATAATGCAGTTCATGAATGAAAATATATATATATATCAAAGACACTACTTCAAAAAAAAAAAATGAAAATATCTTCTTTTGACTTTCATATTTTGTCAAAAAATATTTTTAATCTAAATAAACAGAGAAATGTCAAAAATGTTAGAGGCTTAAAAAAATTATCAAAAAATTTACACAATATTCATATGGGTTTATAAAATTATCAACTCATTTAAGTGTTGTATAAAAAATTTTGATAATTTTTTTAGCAGTTCCTAACATTGATCAAGAAATGAAGGTACCATCAATGTCTTGGCTAAGAAAGAATGCAGCATCATCTTCATCAAAGTAGTCTTCGTTTTGGTCATCCTCCTCCTCCGAAGCAGTGCCTTCTTCATTCTCTTCCCTATCACTTTCGACTGTGGGCAGCATTGTAAATGCCCTCTCCTAGGATGTTTCATCAAATATTATTATTATTATTGTTATATTTATGTGTTTACAACACCATACACATTTGTTGGGCAAAAAAATTCCTTTGAAGAATATTTTTTGCAAAAATTTGTTCGAAAAATAAAAAGTTTTTATTTTTTGTTTTGTTAGGTTAGGTATCCTGGGCCAACCACCCTACATGACAAACTCTCCCCAATGAAGTCGCCAAATGTATCATGTAGTGCATGTAGCTATGGTTTTCGAAGAATACTTTTGGACTACCTCGGCCCTTTGAGATGATTGGGAATCATTGGTTAGGTGCGGTTAAGAAGAAGGATTCGCTAAGAGGTTGATTTCCTCTTCAGGGTTTTCCTCATCCTCGATTTTCCTCATCCTCAGTTCATCGGACAAGATAGTTAGAGGGAATATTCCCCATGTGCCTTGCACATGGGCTTCATTCTACATCATGTGGTACCTATAAAACCCACCTATAGCTTTACAAAGGATGGATTTTGGAGAGACAATTTTTTGGAAAAGAACTAATTTCTCTCCTCCATTATCTATCTTGAGAGTGAAAGTGGGAGATCTATGGGAGAACCTTGTCATTATTCTCTCTCTAACTATTTTATCTTCTTCTTCATCCAATCTCTTATCTCCATCATTTCTTTGCTATCATGTTCTTAGTTGTGACTGTTAAAGAATCTGAATCTCTTATCATTTCTAGAGAATTGGAATTTTTTGACAACATTCTTGAACCCTCTCATATATTTTGGCGACTTCACCGGGAAAAATTTGTTATGTAGGGTGGTTGGCTCAGAATAATTATTTGTTTTTTTTATTATGTAGGGTATCTCCAGTCGTCACCCACTAGACCGCCAAGCACCCTGTGGTTAAATAAAAAGTTATTAAAGACAACTTTTGTGTAATTTTTTTTTTCTTCTCTTGAAACAAATATCTTTAAAATGATGTGTTAGTAATTTGCAATGCATGAGGCTTCTCTCCACTGCATTAATTGGACCGGAGTCGGAAGGTCTAACTTAGGCTATTATGAACTCACCTTAGGTAATCGTTTAATTTTTTAGTATCTTCCCCATAGATATATGTTTGGGTGACGTTTATTTGTTAAAAAAATATAATTTTAAAACGAAATTATTTATTTTTCTAGAATAGTGGCAGTACATGGTGATGGCCATAAAATTTTAAGCTGAAAAATCTTTATAACTTTTGCCAAACCAACTCATTTTCTAAGAAAAACATTTTTCATTAATTTTTATTTTCTATCTTTATTTTTTTTTTTGGGTACCAAAGTTAGAAAATATAAAAATATACCTTTCAAAAAACATTTTACCGCCCAAACAAACTAATAAAATTGGAAATGAAACTATATATATGGAGAGAGGGAGAGAAGGAGAGACCTGTTCCTGCAAGGAGAGTGCAAGAGCAAAATCAGAGTCGACCTGCCCCAGCTGGATAAAAGGGGTGGTGGTGGTGGTGGTTCTGGATTCTCGTTTCTCCTGTTCTTCGTTCATCTTCGATTTCGATGATCGATTCCCGAAACCTAGCTAACTATCACAGAATTAAACTTGAAATTTAGGATATAAAAAGGAAGCTGAGAGGGAAGGAGAACATTAAAGACAGAGAGAAACAGAGAACTGTGAATAATAACAGAGAAGAATAGGGGGGGATTTCTTTAAAGAGAATGAAAGTTTCAAGGGAAGCAATTCAAAAAACAGATAGATAGATATTATATTATTCCCCAGGAAGGATTGATTGATTGATTAAGAATTCTTGTTCATGATGACTTGCCATTGCCTTCAACCTTACGTTTACGTTTGCTTTTGCGTTTGCGCTTGCGTTTATACACAATCAACTCTATCCCTAACCCTGATTTCCTTCATCTGTAGTAGGGATAACCCAAATCCACACGTCTATAGCTTCATTCTTCATATAGAGACAGATATTAGCAGCTTCCCTCTGTCTTGTTTCATTCGGGAATAATTTTTTTAGTCAGAGTTTTTGGTTAATTTAACCAATCTAATTTTATTCCGCTTGAGAAGATTTTTTTTTTTACTATTTTAGAGCATCTCTAACAGTTAGCCAAAATTTTCATCAAATTTGAATAAAAAAAATCTAATTTTTCCAATTTGATATGATTTGCTCCAATGGTGCATCAAAAGGGAAGAGTCGATCGGTTGGTCGACCGGCCGGTCGACCGGTAAGAACAATTTTTTTCTTTACCTGTTTGAACTTTTTTTTACCGGTTTGAACCCACCACTATTTGAAAAGAAACCGGTCGACCGGTTGGTCAACCGGCCGGTCAACGGACTGGTTGACCAGTTGGTTTTCTCCAACGGTCACGCACAGTAATTTGGTGAAACCTGTATTCTGTTCTTAGTTTGATGATTTTTTTGTTCAATTCTTATTTTGATACCAATTTGGTGAAACCGTTAGAGCTCCAAAAAGTAATTTTTTTTACCAAATTTCAAATCTAATGCAAAGTTTGATGAACCGTTGGAAATGATGATCTTAGAGAAAAAAATAATAATAATTATGATTTGAATTTAAAATTTTATTTTATTAACTTATTTAAATTATTTTATCTTTTTATACTTTATTAATCCAAATACACCCCAAACCAACTTGTCAAATGGCAGCTATGCCTTGCTAGCAAATCCCATCTTTTTTAATGGTGTCTCACCACCTCACACGCACTCGCTCACATTCCCGTGCCTTCAAAAAAATAAGGGAGTGTATTTGTATAAAAATAATTATAGATAAGTAAAAAAAAAATATCAATATTAATAATTAAATTCATAAGTTTTTCAGTTATTCTGTAATTATTTTTCTAAAAATACATTGGATTGTAGTTTTTTTTTTAATAACCTCCTAAATCTATCAAATTCAGTTTAAATCGTTGGTTTGATTTAGTTTTTATTAATTTCAGTTATTCAAAAATAATAGAATTGTTTAAATTGGTCTAATTTATTATTTCAAAACTTAGACAAGTGTTTATTATTTTTTTATTTTTATATGTAAAAAATATAAATATAAAAGCTTTACATAAGATTTGAACACTAGTTTTAATTGTCAAATTGACAAATTCTAACTAACTTAACCAAATTAGTCGTTGTTAGTTTGTTTATTAACATAAAAATATATATCATATCTATTGTTATATAAAAATTTTAAAATCGTGAAACCAAATATAAAAAAAAATAAAAAATTGTGAGCCAATTGCAGACATTGTTTAATTATTTAACATCATCCATTTGATAACGATACATGTACAACACTTTGGGTAAGTTTGGAATCTAGTTAAAGGGTTGTTTTGGGAAGATGGTAAAAAGTGATTTTTTGGCTTTTAACTAAATTTTTGACTTTTTTAGACAAATGATTTGGGAAGTTGGTAAAAAGTGACTTTTGACTTTTTTTATTAATATTTGTTTATGATGTCAAATCATAATAAAATGACTAATGGATATTTTTTCTAAATTTTATTAATGGTTAATTTTTTTATTTTTTATTTTTTAAACTTATAAAAGTTGAAAACTTGTAGTGGAAAAAAAATATATATAAAGTCAAGGAAATATAAAAAAATTTGTGAGAAATAAAATGATAATTTAAAATATAGATAAATTACAATTAAAGAGTATTAAGTGTAAATGGTATTATAGTCATTTGCACAACCAAGTTAACACCGTTTGGCTTAAATTAACGGGAGGGGAATCTTGACAATGTCAGAAAAAGTAAGAGAGATTTTTGTAATTATTAAAACTACATAGGAGGTTCTTGTAATTGTCAGAAATCTCAGGGGAGGTGAGTGTAATTTACCCTAATTTCTAACATATTATCTAAAGTTTACTCGAGTAACCCATGATGTCTTGCTTCTTGATAAAGGCATGTCGTTGGAGCATGTCTTTTCTCTTTTTTTTTTTTTTTTTTTTTTTAGTTTTTAAAAAAATTTTTTTTTTTTTTTTTTTGTAGTTTTTAAAAAAAATTTAAAACCTATATTCTTTTTTTCTTGTCTCTTCATTTGATCAGTTGTTATTAAGATTTTGAAAAGCGGTTACGATAGCACGGTTGCAATTGCGGGGTGTAAAGGCTATACCGTAATGGTTGTGGTAATCGAAATCGTGAATTTTTTAATTTTAAGATTTTGAAAAGTGGTTACGGTTGTCGTAATGGTTGCGATGGCGCGGTTGCAATTGCGGGGTGTAAAGGCTATACCGTAACGGTTGTGGTAACTGAAATCGTGAATTTTTTAATTTTTCACACAATTTGAAAAAAAATTACTAATACGCATGTTTTTTCTTTTCAAAATCACATTTATAAGGGTTTAAAATAAATTTTGATTAATTTTTGTTAAATTTTAAATATGATCCAATATATTTCATATATTTAAATCACTATATAAGGAATTTTTTACATTTTATTTCAATAATTAATGACTTTAAGAACAATTGATTTTAAATGTCTATAAAATTATTTTTGATCAAAATCTAAACTAACTAAATAAAAAATATTTACAATTATTAAATGAAATGATTATAAAAAAAAATTGTGCCATAAACAAAAATTATTTTTAAGAAGACATTTTTTCAAACAACACTTTACAGCTAAATAAATAAAATTATTTACTATTAAGTAATAAATGAAATGATTATAAAAATAAAAATTGTGCTATAAGCAAAAAAAAAAAATTTGAGTTGTTGATTCTTTTTTAAATATATTTTTTAGACAACACATTATAGTAACAAAATAAAAAATAGTTACAATTAAATATTAAATGAAATGGTTATAAAAATAAATGCAACCACTATTTATATATATTTTTATTTTACATGCTAATGTAATGAAATAAAAATTAAAAATTAAATTATAAAGAAAAAAAATTCATACAAGGTTTTTTCTTTGAGTTTTGATCACTTGAATATTCGTTCTTTTTTTATAAGATTTTTTATTTTCTTTGGAAAGGAAGCTATTTAGAATATTGTAACGGTGTGTAATGGGCCGTTATAGTATCGCTATGGCCATTATGTAACACCGAAACGGCCGTTACACATGTGAATTTTCGTCACACTACAAAAGTGAGTAACGGATAGTGCTTATCACCGCAACCGTTACGTAACGGCCGCAGTCGTTACGTAACATCCCTTTTTAAAACCTTGGTTGTTATTTATCATGTTAATTTTTAATGGTGTTTTAATTGTATAAGCCATAATGGTTAACTATGTACCTGTTTTTAGGAATTTAGTTTTTGCTTGATTTTCAAACTTAAAAACATTTCTATATGTTTCTTCACTTGATTTAGCTTTCCGATTTCTTAGCTGTGGGACATAAATATGGATTCAGGGTACAATAGTGACAACTCATTTTCTCTCTCTCTTCTTGCGAGCTTCTCTCTCTACTCCTTTTTTTCTTATATGGTTTCCATTTCTGAGTGCCGTTGGGGGTGGGGGAGGGGGGCTCCGGCCTCCGGCTGCCTCTCTCCTTCTCTTTACCCCTTTCTTCTTTCGATCCGTTGGCCATTTCTGGTCAATAAGCTTTGGAAGCTTTGCTTTCCATTTTCTCCCTCCTTGTGTGTTTTTCCTCTTGTGGTGGATTTTCAGTCTATTTTCTTTACTCCTCTTCCCCTCTGCCTTACCCCAGCCGAAGCCTTCACTAGATCTGTCGTCTCCCTCCTCTTTGCTTCACGCCGGCGCTGCCATCACCACATTAACACCAAATGTGCCACCTCTCGCCGGATCTGCTAGCTCCACAAACTAGTCTCCTGGGTTCTCCTCCTCCAACCCGTTTGGTGTAGATCTGCTACAAATCCAGTTTGAGGTTGAGATTTGCTACAGATCCTGTTTGAGGTTGAGTTTCTGGTATTCTTTTTATTTCTGTTTTATTTTGGTTTGGTTTTGACTCTAGAATCCATCAGTGCTTGGTGTAGCTTACCCACTTTGTAGTTGTAATCTATAATCTATCCTCAGCATGCTCTACGGTCGTTTGTTGGCCTCTGCTTGCAGTACGAGCACAAGCACTTGTTGTGCAATTGGGAATTCTTCATAGATTTACTTACGTGTTTTCTTTGATTTTCATCTTTCATTTGATGGTGTAAGTTTATTTTCGATGGATTCCTCTCCTTGTAAGTGTCGTTTGGCTACTTTAGTAGAAATTCCTCTTCTGATAAAAAAAGGGTACAATAGTGACTTTCCAGGTTTATGAATATCGAAGACCTAAGGTGAAGTTTCTTATCCTATCTCTTCATGGAGTCCATAAGTATTAGATAGAGTTACAGCTTTTGTTGTCCATGACATGAATTATTTAGTTATTTGATCTCAGCTCTGTGATTCATATGAAAATGATTCTATCTCAGACAAGTTTGAGTGTTGTCTGTGTGGGAGACGGACAGTGAAAGCCTTAGCCATGTGAGCTTTAGAATCTATGGCCCATAACTTCTTGTCCTTGATGAAAACCTTAGCCATGTTAGCTTCACCTGAACTTTAGATATAACTATTTTTCCTGTGATCCAGCAATATGTTTTACGTGTTTGGCTGTTTTGAGGGTAGCGCAGCAGCAACAATTTTGGAAGCTACCAGAAACCCCATGAGGTACAGTTTCCTAGAAATTAAGTAATGCCATTAGATGAGAATATTTGTAAAATTGTTCAACTTAAACTAGTTTTAGACACTTGGATCAAACTAAAGGATAGAATGCAGTTCCCTGAATAGTTTGTCTGATTTTGTTGTCATATAGTAGTTGATGCTCTGTGTGCCATGCACTATTAGGAGACAAGTCCATAGTCCATTGAAGCCTTCAGAACTCCTCCCGATCATGTTCACACTCAAATGACCATTATTATAGACATCCTTGTTGTGCGCC